GTGTCCCCGCAGTTGGTGCTGGTGCTGGGTGACCTGCACATCCCCCATCGCTGTAACAGCCTCCCGGCCAAGTTCAAGAAGCTGCTGGTGCCTGGCAAGATCCAGCACATCCTGTGCACAGGGAACCTCTGCACCAAGGACACCTATGACTACCTCAAGACCCTGGCTGGGGACGTCCATGTTGTCAGAGGGGACTTTGATGAGGTAATGGCTGGGTTTTTGGGGTGTCCTTTAAGGTTTTTACATTTGGAGTTCATTCAAGTGGTGGAATGAGTTCCTGAGCTCTCCCCTTCTGGGTGGTGCAATAGGGTTGGGTTTAAATAGAAATCTCTCTAATCTGGGTTTGGTTTATTCTCTTTATTTTTAGAACCTGAATTATCCTGAGCAGAAGGTTGTGACTGTTGGACAGTTCAGAATTGGGCTGATTCATGGCCATCAGGTGATCCCCTGGGGTGACATGGCCAGCCTGGCCCTGCTGCAGAGGCAGTTCGATGTGGACATCCTCATTTCAGGGCACACACACAAATTTGAGGCATTTGAACATGAAAATAAATTCTATATCAACCCAGGATCAGCTACAGGAGCCTACCATGCCTTAGAGAAGTAAGTGACTGTTGAGGGGATTTCTTTGTTTGGGTATTTGGGTTTTTTTTTGGGTACAAAACTGAACTACAAACTCCTGAGGGTTAATATTTGTGATTTAAATGGCAGGGAGAGGATAGTTAGAGTGTGCATAACTGACACAGCTGTGCTTGCTCAATCTCCTGGACTGAAACATGAAATGCTCCCAGCCTCAGATCTCTGTGCTGTACTCACAGAATTAATTCCCATTTTTCTTTAACTGATTTCTGAATAGTGGTAAAACACTAAGGGGGTTTCATACACACAATCACTGTGAATTGTTTCCTCTCTTTCCAGCAACATCATTCCTTCATTTGTGCTGATGGACATCCAGGCTTCTACAGTAGTTACATATGTCTATCAACTAATTGGAGATGATGTGAAGGTAGAAAGAATTGAGTACAAGAAATCCTAAACAATGTTTTTGCTTGTCTGGTATTTTTACCATCTCCTTCTGAACTGCAAGTTCCAAACTTGCTTGCTCGTTTACAGCCCTGCACTGTCTCTAACAGCTCAACAATGTAACTTCTTGTCATGAATTTAAACAACCTTGTGTTTGCTTTTCTCTGTATGATTTGTAAAATATTCCATGAAGATAACTGTCTGAATACTGTTCCTTAATGTAATAAACTCCACTTCATAGAAAAGCTGAGCCTGGTGAGTGCTGTTGGGAGGAATGCAGCAGTTGTGGGGGTTTGGGGTTCCCCTTCCAAGGGGCTGGAACAGAGATGGAGGGCTCTGGGATGGGTTTGCTCCAGAATCCAGTTTCTATTGAAATGTCCCAATTTAACATTCTCAGCTAAGCTCAAGGAGTAAAATGGTTTCATAGACTCTGGAAGGATTACAATTACCTTGTAATTTAGTAGAGTTTGAGTCTTTCTCTGATCAAAGCACTTTCAGCTCTCTCTGTGCTTCCCTGAGTGATGATCTCACTCAATCCATAACCAGTGAGGTTTTCCTTATTTGTGCTCACATCTGACTCCATTTTGTGCTCTTTGCTCCATGCACAGAGCTGTCAGTGATGGAATTCCATCTCTGTGGAATTCCATGTGACTCTTAAAGCTGCTGAGGAGAAATCTGGGTTGTTCCAGGGCAGCACCCTGTGGCTGCTCAGCTCCCCTTTCTCACAACTGCTGTGACTTTCCAACAAAACAGATTTTTATCTTTGCCTCTCCCAGCAGAATGTTTAGGATGGGGGCAGTTCCCTTGGCCTTTGAGTTATGACTTTTCCATCAGCTGGAACACTTCTTTCTGTGTCATGAGCTGAATAAATGACTCATTTCTATTCCAAATAAATCTGCTTTGCCCTGGACAAAAAGACATTTCAGGCTGGTGTCTCAAGAACCTCTGGCTAATTGCACTTCATGCAGTCAGAGCAAAGTTGAAAAGAAAACCTTGGCATGTGAAATTCAGGGAATTCCACTGACTGGACACCAATTTATTGACAAACTCATAATTAAGAGGTTTATAGAATATTGTAAGGGACCAAAATAGATGCATAAGGTTATTTCTTTTTAATTTACACTGCAAGGCTAAAATTGACACACAAGTTTATTTGTTTTGACTATAAGGCTAAAATCGATACATAAGTTTGTAAAGTTACACTTAAAATTTGTCTACAAAGTATTTTACATGAACCACAGCCCCTGCAGCTTTAGACAAGTTTATCACAGTGGTGACAAAGTTCTGTTGCTGTGGGTGACATCTCAGAGAGGTCCTGACAGCAGGACTGAACATGGGGAAATGCAGAGGGAAAGGAAATGAACTTTATTCCTTCCCAAAGTTAAAGTGCTGAGTATGAACTGGTGGCTCCAAACAGGAAATTCTGCTGAGTCTGAGCTGTTTGTGTGGGGTGGAGAAAGGAGGAGAAGCAGCCTGGAACAGCTGGGAAAGGTGAGAGGTTGTGGATGCTCCTGGTGAAAGCTTTGGGGTTTTGTGTTGTGAATGCACAGCCCAACCTCCTGCAGGACAGGGAGGAGGGAAAAGGGGAAATCTCAACCCAATTTATGGCACTTCCAGGACACAGGACCCCTCTGATGCATTCAGGTACATCTGGAAGGGCAAAGAACAACATTAACAGGGCTTAGGAGAATGGGATGGGATCCAGGACACAGAGGTGGTTCAGGTAAAATGAATGATTTGAATTAATAAACAAATATTTTATTATATACAGTATATGTTACTAAAGTAGATCAGCTAAAAAGTATTTTTGCAAGAAGTTGGGTGCAAATCTTTAGAGAAAAAGGAGATAATACTGCCTGAGGAGGAGAGATGGTTTGTTTTACCTGCAGAAGGTGAGGTGCTGGGACATCTGCCACAGCTGGGTTTCCACATTTCTTTTGATACTCTTGAATCAGGGCTGTTGCATCATCAAGGCTGTAAGAGGCAAAATTGGATCAACTTTGTCAAATTAAACTCTCTAAAAAGCCAAAACTTTTTACAACAGAAGCAAAAAACCAAAGTATGATCCCACAGATGGGCCCTGTCATTTCCCAGCACAGAAAACAAGGCTGGCTTTTCCTTGGGGCTGTTAATAAAATCAGTAAATAGAGAATTTCAATGTTTCTTGGCTCCTGTCCCAGTGTGAGTGTGGGAGCAGTGCCAGGGCTGGCTCTGAGTGTGCCCAGGTGTGAGAGGAGCCCCAGGTGGGTGGGGCCCAGCCCAGCCCAGCCCCTCTGTGATTTAAGTGGAGCACAAAAAGGGCTTTTGGTTCCTGAAAACCTCATGGCACAACCACCAATTCTCAAGCCTTCAGTACAGGCAGCTCATTTATTTTTTTCTGAGTGTTTTTATTGCTGAAGTTGTGACTCTGTGATGCCTGAGCTGCATTCACCTAAAGGTAAGGCCAAGGTTTTGATTATTTCACTCTGGTTGTTTCTATTTTAACTGCATTTGATCTGCTGCTAGTCCAGGCCTAACAATCTGTTACTTGGTCTTGAATGGCTGTAAAACTCTGTCCTAGTGAGGTAAATTTATTTCTTTATTAACTTAGCAATACTTAAAAATCCTTGGAGACTAAGTATGAGAAAACCTCCATGACTTCAAACAAAGGAAAATGAAATAAAGCTGAGATTTAATTCCTGCAATTGCAACCAGTTACAGTTGTTTTTTAATCATTTATTAACTTACCAGTTGTTTTTGGCAAAATAATCCACCAGCTCTTTAATTCTGTGGGTGTTTATCAGGTGTTGCTTTAGCAGTGGATAATATTTGCTTTTCCAGAACTGCTCATAGAGCTTCTCGTTGATGATACTGTCCAAAACCAAAGAGCTGATCTGTGGATTTAAGTGTTAGTAATGAGAAGTGTTAATATTTTAGACAAATGAGATTTTACTTCTGAATGGAAAGAGCTCATAGTTTTCATATTGCACTCTATAGAGAATAGAGGTTTTTTTTACATTTTATTTAAGTGCTGTGAAATGGCAGATTTTGTGGAAAACTGATCCCAGATTCAGAGAGGGAAGTGAGTTAAACTTGGCCATGGGGAGGCAGCTCAAGGCAAGGCAAAAGTGCAGTTTTAAAAGTGCAGTTGAGGCCTTTTAGCCTCAAATATTTATTCAGGAAAAACCAGGTGGTTCTGCTGCCCTCCAAACAGGGACAGCCCAGAACGTGGCTCTGGGTATGCACAAGAAGTTTCTCAGCTGAACAACATAAATAAAAACACATTTTACAAGTATTTTATATTTTTTGAGCCTTCAAAGTCAAGTAAGGCTGGGCAAGATCAGAGGAGAGAGAAGAGAAGGTTCTGTGAACACTTTTCTATCAAAAAAGCCTCCAAGTCAAAGGGAAGTGAAGTAAATTTGGTTTATTCACCTGGGAAGCAAATGCTACCAGCTCTCCAGTGTCCATGTGTTCATCCAATTGCTGCAGCACAGTTTCTTTCTTACAGGTTGATAACAAACCCTTGTGAAAATAAGTTACAAAACCTTATTATTCTGTGATTGATTAAAGCAGGAACACTCCCTTCAGAACAGATATTTGATTTATTCAGAAATCTTCAGAAATTCTAGGTGCAAATACAGAATTACCAAACCAGGATCTGTGTGCTTGGACTGAAAGTGTTGCTTTGAACTCTCTCAATGGTGTTTTGCTGTGGCTGTCAGAGGATTGTTTGACTCCTTGCCAGCAGGTTGTGTCTTACACTGCAGCTGTGATTTAGGGAAACCTTTCTGAGAGGAACTTTAATGACTGGAAATGAAAGAATTTCAGGTGCCTTTACTGGTCCCAGTTTGCTGGTGGCAAATATGGGAACAGCCTCTAATGCTTCATCTGGGAGAACAATGCAGGGCAGAAATTAATGGAAATAAATGAGAAAAGCAGGGAAAATGTCAAAGTTCATGGATGGTGAGGACATGGCTGTAAGGCAGAAGGTTTCTGTCAGAGCTGGTGCACATCAAACACCTTCCTGGGCAGTCAGGAGCTTTCAACTCAACACCCTTCCAAAGCAGGATTGAGTGCTTTTATTACCATCTGCTCTGCCTTGGGTTTTACTGGTTTTGTGTTTTTTTTTTTCTCATATGCTTTATGGGTGGGATCTCATAAAACATCCTCAGATTCTCTAAAGGCAAAGCCAGATGACAAAGCCACTGGGGGTGACTGAAGTTTTTAAAGAAAAAGGAGGAAGTGTTCACATGATCCCTTCAGAAGCCTTTGGGGGTGGCAGATGTTGAGCATTTATCAGCAGGGATGTGCTGAAGTGAACTGGAATTCACCTCTGACTGAGCAGGACATGCTGAGGACATTTCCCTTGTAGAGACAGGACACAAAACTTCAAATTTACCTGAATTTGCTGCTGTCTCTTCTCAGAGTGAGGAGTGACCAAGAGGCAGCCCAGGGCAAAAGCTGGCAGGCCCAGCTGGGTGTATTGTTTAGCAATTCCCACAATGTCCAGGTCAGCCAGGACAGGACACCTGCAGGGCATCAGGAGGGAAAATCTCAGGGCAGTTTTGCTCAGAGCTGTCAGCAAACCCTGAGATTTGGGAGTCAGGTAGGACAACACATTTCTGCCTCACATTAATGCCAGAAGTGGCCAAGGAAATTGAAGTTTCACTGAATACAAACCCATGTGGAGTTTCTAAAAGCCCAAATCACACCTCCAGTTTTTCTTTGTAAGCAGCCCATTTTGAGGGCTTTGTTGGTCACCTGCCCAGAGCAGAGCTTTGGCACAGATGTGTGTGCACAGCAGTGCAGGATCCCTCTCCACATAACTTTCAGGGTCCTTCCCAACCCAAACCTAATTTATTTCCCAGCTAACTTTGGTTCAAGTCGGGCTCTCTGAGCTCTGGTGGGTGTTTAGAGCAAGTCAGAGCATTGAGGTACTGAAATGAGGAAAAACTGAGCAGGGCTGGGAGCTCACCTGAGCAGGAGCACAAAGCCCTCCCTGCACTCCTGCAGCTGCCTGGGACTCGGCGGGCACGAGGCTGAGAAAGAGAAACAGAACAAGGTGGAGTAAATCTACAAGCAGGATACTCCCAGGAGCAGGGCAGGGAGTGCAGCCCTACCTGTGAGGAAGGGGGACAGGACCACGCTGCGCCAGGCCCGGCTGAAGCTGGGAATCTGAGGGCAAAAAAGTTTATTTTTGAGTTATAACAAAAACCAGGTGTGACCAAATGTGTAACAAACACAGACACCCTGACCCCCTGCACCTGGAGGAAACCTGTCAATATTCCTTTTTATTTATCCAGAATTATTCCCCAACATTGCTTTCCTTAGCTCAGACTCCAAGATTTAGGAATATTCTGTCACTGTTTACTGACATAGTAAACTTATATATAAATATATATATATGTTCTATCCAATGTTTACTGATATACTGTCATAGGAATAATAGCAATTCAAAAAGAATCTTACTGTCATAGGAATAACAGCAATTCAAAAAGAATCTTTTCATGGCTGACACACAAACACTCCAAATTCCTGTGAAGTGAAGAAAAAGATCAGGAGCCAGATAATATTTGCTTACCTCCCATAATGAAGGAATCCCAGTGATTGCAACCAAAACTCTTCTTAGATACTGAATCTGGAAGAAAAAAAATCAAATTATTTGGTGTTTCTGAGGATTTGGCAATAATCTACGGAAAAATGTACATTATTGGCAAATTTAGCTTGTTTTGTCTGCAGGATGCAAACCTAGAGTTTCTCAAGGCACCTGTGCTCCTTTGACACCTATGGAAATTTGTTTAGTAAATTAAATTATCAACCCCACTGCCAGGTACATCTGTTACCTCCTCAGCTGCAGCACTTTTCCATAATGTCTGACAGTCACAGGCTATTGGGGTTCTGAATGGCAGCAATCAGGATTTCCATCACCAG